TTGACCTTGTGATCCACCCGCCTCGGCCTCCCACAGTGCTGGGATTACAGGCTTGAGCCACCGCGCCCGGCCTAAGTTTGTGCTTTTTCTTTAAAGATGCAGGGATCTTATGAAGATTTTTAAGATTTTAAAACATCAAGAAATTATTGATCTTTTAATATGTCTGCCTCCAGTGAACCTGCTTTCTTTGCTTTTCTTTCATTCTTTTTTAGACCTCGAGTCCCATAGAAGAGGACTTTGAAGGAATACAAGGTGCATTTGCCCAACTTCAAGTTTCTGGTAATAAGCCCTTAGGAAAGATTCCTTGAGAATCCCTTGCCTTCACTTTCTTCTGTTGGATCACAGATGTTTAGAGCTGGGGGGGATCCTGAGGGACAGCCTCACCCAAACCTTTCATTATACGGTTGAGAAAACTGTGGTTCAATGATTTCTCCGCAATAGAATGAATCCCTTGCTCCTCGCCAACCTCATGACATCCAAATGTTGTATTATTTATACCTCCCCTTGCATTTTTATAGCATATGTTGTTGTAGTCACTGCTTTTTCCTCCTCTGGTCTCTCAAGCTTTCAGGCTGTATGCCACATAGCAAGCACACAGTTATCTTTCGTAAGCTGACCTGGGGAATTTGCCAAGCTACATAGCTAGTTATTGACATAACAAAATTAGAACTAGGTTTCCATGTATTTCTTCTCACTAGAAGGCAGTGTCATCAGCATTTTCCTTTGCTTGCATAGCATCTTAGGAAAGAGTTAGTAACAGCTAACAATGCAGATTCAACTTAACATCTACCCCTTGGGAGGCCTTGGGTTCTATATAACTTAGCAGGGGCTTTCTATTAGATGAGAAGTTAGTCTTGGATCAGTAGCCAGGGATGTGGCACCAGACAGATATAAGTTAACCGTTGGCTCTGTTACATTTTAAAAATTGTGTACTCTTGTTCTTTTAAGGCATGCAGTCACCTATTTTAAAACTAGAGTTACCCACCTATCAACCTGTGTAGCTATTCATGGTCATGTTTCAACCCTCTGAACCCAAAGAGGGTGGTATTATGAACTTACTCCCTTCCTCCACTGCATACTTCAGCTTCCAACTGTGTAGGCCTCTGGCAGAGTTGGAAGCATTTTAAGAAACTGTAAGCTTTTAGATAAACACTTAAAGTATCAGCACAGTATTTATTAAAAATTTCCAGAGCCTTGGGCCACCCACCTCTTCCTGCAGAGTCCCTCTTTTGGACCTGGCTTATATGTGGCCACTTAACTTGTATTTGGAGGTAAGTTGAGTGGGATGGAAAAGTTGTAGGGCACACAGGTCAGATAACAGAGTCAGTTTAATACAGACAGCTGAAGTAGGTGAAAAAGTCTCTGATTTCTACTCCATTCACTTCTTTCTGCCCCTCTCTGCCCCTGTTTCCACCTAGATCTCTGATATATATCCCCTTCCACATCGGAGGACACAACAGGGATACAGGATGGAGCATGCTAGGTTCCAAGCCCCATTCTGCCACTGACTTTTTCTGCATAACCTTGAGCAAGTCACTTTACCCCAGGGCCCTACTTTCCCCTGGTATAAAGTAAACAAGAGGATCAGACTCTAAAGTCTCTAATTTCTAAATGTTGCTTTTTAGGAATTCGTTTATGCTTTCTGGGTATTTATCATTTTAAAAGAGGGTCAGAGGAAGAGGAACCTCCAATTTCTCTTCACTGGTGGTGTTTCAGAGCTCCTTGGTAGCTGTGAAAGGTGGCATTGTTCTCGTGAGCCTTCTTAGTGTACACCAGACCACCTGGACATAAAGAATGGGATGGGGATGGGTGAGTCATGGGCATTTGGAAACAGGGCTGGATGTACCATCTACCCCCTGCTATATTAACTAGGACAGTACAGTGGTGGGAAGGAAAATGGATACTGGCCCTGCCTGCCTGGAGCAAAGCATCTTACTGAGAACTGGGGAGGAGTAACTTCAGATAACTTGATGCCAAGGAGAACAGAAGACAGTTGAATTAGCTCCTCAGTAATCAAGATCCCACCCCCGCCCCTACTCTTTAGGTAGTGTTTGTTGGCAAAGTGGCATAGTTAGAGCTCAGGGCTGTTCAATTAACAAACAGTTCTTGTTTTCAACGCCCCCTGGTGTCTGTTGATAGGAACCCAGTCAGTTTGCCTTCTTAAAAAGACAAAACAACATTTGTCTCCAGAAATAACTGTGGTTATAACTAAAAAGGCCAGTAAATGGCTTGATTGTATTCTGAGTGTCAGAATATAGTTCTGTGCTCTGATCAAGGAAAATAAACTTTCAAAGCAAAAACCTCTTCTACAGCACTCAATCCAAACCCAATTAGGGCAGCAGTTTATCCAGATTATTTCTAACTCTGGACCAGACCAAGCGAAATTCTAGGGAATGATAGGGGTTGTCAACCCCTCTATTCTATTTTCCCATCTGTGAAGTAGGGATAAGAATCCTTACAAAGGCTGAGTGTGGTGGCTCACATCTGTAATACCAACACTTTGGGAGGCTGAGGTGAGCAGATCACGAGGTGAAGAGATCAAGACCATCCTGGCCAACATGGTGAAACCCTGCCTCTAATAATTTGGGTTGGCAAAGATTCAGTAAAAAAAATTTTTTTTGGCTGGGCACATGGCTTATGCCTATAATCCCAGCACTTTGGGAGGGCGAGTTGGGTGAATCATGAGGTCAGGAGATCAAGACCATCCTGGCTAACACAGTAAAATGCTATCACTACTAAAAATGTAAAAATTAGCCAGTCATGGTGGCATGTGCCTGTAGTCCCAACTACTTGGGAGGCTGAGGCAGGAGAATCGCTTGAACTTGGGATACAGAGGTTACAGTGAGTCAAGATCGTGCCACTGTACTCCCGCCTGGGGGACAGAGCGAGACTCCGTCTCAAAAAAAAAAAAAAAAAAATTGTACTTTATTCTTTCAGGTGAGGAAAAGTTCCAAATGATAAAAATTCTTGGAAAGAATGCTGAGATTTTGCCCAGGTCTCGATTTCAACCTATACAAAGGTATGGGCTGTTATTATCTTATTCACAGTTTCAGACTCATAGATGCGTTATTAAATGGTGATAATGCCCCATATTTATATATTGCTTGTCTTCAAATGTATTAGCCACTGTTTATAAAATTTAGCTTTGGGCAGCTTAGCTTTGTTAGGACTTGTGCAGTAGAATTTGAGGGATAGTGAAAAGGAGTCATCACCTTTTTTTTTTTTTTTTTTTT